GCAAATCCCATCATTTGTTGCCCATCCTCCCCCAAACTGCACCAGGACATAAAGTGAGTCATGGAGGAGTCTGTGTAGCAAGTTTGTGAAGTCGAACATAACCCCCCCCCCCCAATTAAAGATAGTAACATAGTTTTTCTAAGGACAAGGACACCAGACTGGATAATAAGGGTTAAGCCTTGATCAATTTGCCAAGACACTAACAACAACAACAAGGACATGTCTCATTTTAGATAGTGTGTATCATTTAATCAAGGTTTTTATGCCCTATTTTCATATATTTATAGCAGAAGGTAACAGATTTATTACTGAGAAACCACCTCCCTTTACACTTATGTACTCCCTTGAACTTCTATGGGACTTTCTTGAATTTCTATGGGACTTCAAGAAGTTCTTCTTGAACTTCTTTGGGACTTTTTCCCCTTCTGAAGGCCTCTTAGAAACTTTTTGGAAACTTTACCTTTTCAAGCCACCTATGCCTGACCCTTCTGTCCTATTCCCTTTTATAAAAAATGTATAAAAATATAAGAAACCACTCTCTGTGACCCTGGAAAGAAGGAAATCCTCTGTTGAAAGAACCTTATCAAAAGACTTATTTGCATGAACCATACAATGGGAAGCCACCCTGGGGCTCGGAGTCGGTCCCCTCAGCGGATGGTGCCCACTTGGTATTGATGATCATATCTCAACATGACAAAGGGCCTTCGGAGAGCCACACTTTGTCCTGATCTGTTTACTCATTCAAACCTTCCTCCACCGAAACTTCAGCCAAGATTGCCTCATTGTTCCCATATCTCAGCACCAGGAAAATCCAGATTTTGGCAGGTTTGCCAGACTTCAACGTTTATTGCCACCTGAGGCGGCCCTAGGTAATTTTCAACGGTAAACAAACAGTATTTTGGCGCCCCCCCCAACCAATAATTGATATATATTTTCTGTTTGTCATGGGAGTTCTGTGTGCCATATTTGGTTCAATTCCATCATTGGTGGAGTTCAGAATGCTCTTTGATTGTAGGTGAACTATACATCCCAGTAATAGTTCACCTTGCCGCATTTGCTCCCTTGCCTGGCCCACTTTGGGTCCGGAGGCGTGCCTGAAGACCGTGTGCACCAAAAGTCACCTCTTCTCCTGACTTTCTCCTCAGCCATTGGGACCAAGAGAGAGAGAGAGAGAGAGGTGGAGATGCCCACCTTTCCTGAAGGTAGGTGCAAAAACAAAGGAGGGAGCGGAGGTGGGAGATACCTCCAGCCGGAGGGGCTCTCTCTCTCTCTCTCTCTCTTGGTCCCAATGGCTGAAGAGAAAGTCAGGAGAAGAGGCGACTTTTGGTGCGCACGCTGGGGTCTTCAGACACGCCTCTGGACCTGAAGTGGGTCAGACGTGGCGGCTCCGCCCCTTGGCCCACCCGCAGATTGGGGAGATGAGAGGAGGCGGGTGGAGTGATCTTAGACAGGCCCCTACATTGGCAGTCTTCAGAAAGACTGACAGTCTTTGACAGTCTTCAGAAAGAACTTGAAGACCTGGCTGTTCCGATGTGCCTTTCCTGATTAGGAAATCTCCAATACCAAGTCCCAGACGCACTTTATTAGAATTAATATTACCGCAAACTGCACACTGCACTTGCCCCTATAATCCTTACATATCACCTGTCACATCAGCACTTTTTAATCCTGTACCCTTTACTCTGGCCCGGCCCAGTTTTATCTTGTTTGATGTATTGTTTATTGCTTTTGGTTTTTGTTGTTTTAATACTGCTTTAATTGTTTTTAATTTGCTTTAAGTGTATTGTTATGTTGTGTTTTGAGGCCTTGGCCTTTGTAAGTCGCATCAAGTCCTTCGGGAGATGCTAGCGGGGTACAAATAAAGTTTAATAATAATAATAATAATAATAATAATAATAATAATAATAATGCATTGTCGAAGGCTTTCATGGCTGGGATCACTCAGTTCTTGTGGGTTTATAGGTTTATATAGTCCGAAAAAACCCACAAGAACTGAATAATAATAATAATAATAATAATAATAATAATAATAATAATAATAATGGGAAATCTTCCCCTCTGCTTTTTGTTTACTTCCCATTGATAGCATTAACCTCAGGCTGCCATCAATTGTTCTCCTGTCTCACAGCCAGGAAGGATCTGGATATTTTTACACATGCTGATTTACAACATGCATGAACACAATAGATCAGCCATGCTGGAGACTTCCTTTTTGTCTCGCGAGCCACATGACATTATTTTTTTCAAAACTAATTCACAGATTCCTTTGTGTTCTATCATCCCACCTCCCTCTCTCCTGATTTGCTGTTGCCACCAGGTGGCAGAGGTCTCCCCATTGGATCCTATGGACCACTGGAGCTTCCTGATTGGTCCAGAGACACCGGGGGAGGGAGGGCCGCCTCCCAGCTGTTCACCCATCGCCCAATCATGGCGGGGAACAAAAGGGAAGCCGGGGCAGGGAGTTTGAACTCTGCAACTTTGAATTCACTATAAATATGACTGTATTGGTGTACTCTCCTCATGCTCTGCTGGCGAATGATTGCAGCTTGCCATCCTTTTCAGCTGAATCGCAAATAAAACCTCGATGGCTTTTCTTCAACTTGGTGAAACCTTTCATTGGGAAATCAGGGAAAAATATGGGATGCTTCTCTGTCTCGCCAGGGAAAAAGAACTCTTTGATGAGTCTAATTGGCCTCTGCCTCCTGGCAAAGACCCCTAAATTTTAGCTCTACGTCACCCCCATGACTAACAGAACATACTGGAGGAGTTTGGGGAACTGGCCCACTTTTGTGGGAGTTGTAGTTCACCCTGCATACAGAGAGCACCCTGAAGACCTTGGAACCCGGGATTTATAGTTCACCGTGCATCCAGAAAGCACTGAACTCAACCGACAACTAATCTTGGCACACAGACCCAATAGGCCCAATTTTAAACACTGGCAGTGTTTGTGGGTGATTGGCCCACAATTTTTGGAAATTCAAGTTCTCCCACATCCTTATGCCTTTTCTAATACTATTTCCTAATAAATAGTATTGCCAAACTGATATGACCAAACATCCAAAAACAAAGAATGCCTTATTGTTAGATTTAATTGATTATATTTGCACTCTGCACATCAGACGAGAGGGCGTGGTTTGGGGGTGAGGCCCCGCCTACTCTCTTTTGTCACGCCCCCCTCGTTTTCCTTTGCTTTCCATTGCGAGGCTAAGCCTTTGCTGGAGCCACGCCCCTTTATCTGCATAAGGGGAGGGGCCGAGGAGAGACGCGGCGTTCCTTATAAAGGATTGTGGGCGGAGCTTCGTAAGTAAAGATTTGCATACGGGGCGGAACAACGCAGTGCCCCTTTATAAGAAAGCGTGGCAGGGTTTCGCCGTAGTCACGCCCCTCTATCTGCATAGGAAAGGAACGTGGGCGGGGCTTAGCATCGGTCCCGCCCCTTTATCTGCATACTGGGCAGGGCCGAGATGGATAATAGCAGTGCCCCCTTATAAGAGAGACGCGGCGTCCCTTATAAAGGATCGTGGGCGGAGCTTCCCAAATAAAGATTTGCATATGGGCAGGGCTGTCAAGGATAGACTCATGAGGAAGCGGGGGCGAAGCTTTGTCCTAGTCCCGCCCCTTTATCTGCATACTGGGCAGGGCCAAGATGGATAGTAGCAGTGCCCCCTTATAAAGAAGCATGGGCGGAGCTTCGCAAATAAAGATTTGTATTGTCGAAGGCTTTCATGGCTGGAATCACTCAGTTCTTGTGGGTTTTTTCGGGCTATATGGCCATGTTCCAGAGGCATTTCTCCTGATGTTTCACCTGCATCTATGGCAAGCATCCTCAGAGGTAGTGAGGTCTGCTGGAAACTGGGAAAAAAGGGGTTTATATATCTGTTAGGGCTGTCCAAACACGGAAAAATTTGTTTCTAAACTTGATTCGTTTTTAGGGGTTTTTTGCGTTTCGTTATTTAAAAGAATTCTGAAATTTTCCTTTAAAAAAGTTTGATATTTACGAAATTTCGGAAATCATAAAACAATTACGAAACAATTAAGAATCGATTACGAATCGATTCGTTAATGGCGGCCGCGATCGCGCAATACGCTAAAAAAACTTCTGAAACTTCCCTCTCCCTCTGTTGTTGACTGTTGGTGTGATAATTATATATTTTTTCACTGAGAAAACAAACAGCAACCCTAAAACTTGCACCAGACATGCGGAAATAATAACGAAACATTTACGAATCAATAACGAATCAATAACGAATAAATAATGAATCAATTCCGAAACAATTACGAAACGAATTGGAAAAATTCCTTTCGTTTTTTAGTTGCTCCTGAATGGTTCAATATCGCTTTGTTATCAAAAAATAACAAATTTTTAACGAATTACAAAATTACGAAACGAAACCGCCCAGCCCTAATATCTGTGGAATGACCAGGGTGAGACAAAGGGGCTTTTGTAAGTTGGGCTAGGTGTGAATCTTTCAACTGA